TCTCCCCTCTCCTTAGGTTCACAAAGCTCTGCTTTTTACTTTCCCCTTTGTTTTTCAGAACACTCTGATTATCATTTTTTATGATTTCTCTTTTGCCTCTCCATTGTTCAATCCAGTGCTGTAGGTTCCAGTAAGAAATGAGTTTCTGAAATGGAAATTTGCTAAAAGTAAAAAGTAGTAGAGAGAGGACAGAGGAATCAGCTTGAAAGATGGGCAGGAGGATAAGAAAACAAGGCAGTAAATGAACCCGAAAGTTATGACTCAACACTGTCTTCATAAACATTGCTGTCACTGCTGTTGTCCTCAGATACTACAATTCCCACTAACAGTGCTATTTCTGTGGACCTGGGTTTTATTTGCTTTATTCTTCATATTATTGCTCCCATTGCCTTTTCTGCATTGCCTTTTCTGCATTGTCTCTGTCCTCTCTCTACCTATCCATATTAAAAATCCTGTATATGTGTTTAGATAAATCGAGATCAATTCATGTGTCATTGTATGTGTGAGGGGCATGGGAAAGTAAGTTCCTGTGCCTTTCAGCTTCTGAAGTGTGAAACAGTCCTACCTACAAAACAGATTCATGTGTTAGAAAGGGTTTCAGGTGTGACTACCTAGTAAATGACATCTGCTTGCAACATAATCTCTTTACCATAACTTTCTCAATATTTTCTCTTCTCCCATCTCTTTCCTTTGTGTACCCTCACTGACAGATAGGTTACTCATACCTGTGCCTCCAACTACACCAGTGACACTTGTGTTATTACTTCTGTTAGCACATAGTGGTAGTTTTACATGTTTAGTTACATTTCACCTGGTATTTGAAGAAATTCTTCCTCCACAGATTTCACAGTTAACTTGTTCTCAGTTTTATTTTTGATTATCACCTACTCAATTACCACTTCCTTACTGACCACCCTTTAATACCTAAAATGTATCTCAGTCTCAAATCTTCATTCTCATTGTCTGTTGGATTATATATGGACTAATCACCACACTTATGTTTGCATCCTTAGAGGAATATTTTAAATGTGCAGATTCTTGTTTTGTTCTTAAACTATTTCCTCATAATGTATGATTTGCACAATGACTTCCCTGCACAATAGAATATTGAATATGCTCTGGGAAGTGCTAGACAACAGCAACAGCTTCATGATTACTATCCTTGTCTTTAATGCTCCTCCCAAACAAGCAAGGTGTACACTCTCAAATATTTAATTTAAATATTTTATCATATCACTCCCTTTCTTTGAGAAATAGAATTCAACTTTCTTCACAATGGATTCAATTCATTTTATATTCATGGCCATTCAAATAGCTTTGCTCTAAATTCTGCATATTTCTAGGACACAGAATTTCTAACCACATTCAGTAGATCTCAATAAATTGGAAAAAAACTTATGAAGGGACTCATTCCCTGTAAATTTGTTACTTTTGCACATTTATTAACTGAATTAATTGAAGTTTCTGCCATTTTAATTCCTCAAAAGTATTTTCTTCCCTTATAGTAGTATATATTCTGACATGCACTTTATAAATGTGTAAAAGTGATTTTTTTCTCAACTTATGCATTCCTATTTTCTTGTTTTCAATCTTTTTTCATATTCACTGCATTTCTTTTCAGAAGACGTCCAGTGAGAAAATGGCAATGAAAAATGCAACGTTGCTGACTGGGTTTTTCCTCACTGGACTCCCATATCAACCAGAGTGGCAAATCCTCCTGTTTCTGTTGTTCTTGACAGTATACCTCATCACCATGGTGGGAAACCTGGGTCTGATTACTCTCATCAGGAATGACTCTCACCTTCACATACCCATGTATTTTTTCCTTGGGAATTTAGCATTTGTAGATACTTGGTTATCATCTACTGTGACACCAAAAATGCTGGTGAACATAATACACAAAGACAAGATGATAACTTTCTCTGAATGCATGATACAATTTTTCTGTCTTGCAATCTGTGTAACAGTAGAATGTTTTCTCTTGGCAGCAATGGCTTATGATCGCTATGTAGCTATATGCAAACCTTTACTTTACCCAGTGATTATGACCAATAGACTATGTTTCCAGCTATTAGTTTTATCATTTGTAGGTGGCTTTCTTCATGCCTTAATTCATGAAAGTTTTTTATTCAGATTAATCTTCTGTAATTCCAATATAATACATCACTTTTATTGTGATGTCTTACCATTGTTTAAGATTTCTTGTACAGACCCTACTCTTAATTATCTCCTTGTTTTCATTTTCTCTGGTTCAATACAAGTATTTAGCATTATGACTATTCTTCTTTCTTATACATTTGTTCTCTTTACTATTTTGCAAAAGAAGTCTGAAAAGGGTGCAAGCAAAGCCTTCTCCACCTGTGGAGCCCATCTCTTTTCTGTGTCTCTGTACTATGCTCCTCTTCTCTTCATGTATGTGCATCCAGCATCTTCAGAAGCAAATGATTGGGATATGATCTTCTCTCTATTTTACACTGTCATAATGCCTGTGTTAAATCCATTTATCTACTCCCTGAGAAACAAGCAAGTCATCAATTCACTAAGAATGGAGTTGAAGACACATACTTAGATCTCATAATAACATATTATCTTCTTTGATTAAATGTAGCATTGTGGAAGTATATGTGAATAATTTTCAGTAGTATTCAAAGATTTTTGTAGATACAGTTCTATAATACTGATGAATTAAGTTTTTTGTACCTCATTAGCTTCTTCAATGTGTGTATCCTTCATTTATAGACATAAATTCTTTTAATGTATTGTTCATATCATATCAAAAAATTAATCCTGAAAATAAGTAAAAACAATATACATATTGTGTTCTTCCATTATTTATATAGTGAGCACCAAAGTTCTTTTCAAAGGACTTGAGTGTGATAACTTTATAAAGACAATGCTGTTTAACTGGTTACAAATCTACTATTGCATATAATTTACATTTTATTGAAAATGTGATTTTCCTGATATAATGTAGTGAGTTATGACTGTTACCTAATGTGCTGTGAAATAACTAAATTATTTTGCTAATTCATTATCTTGTGTCTCAGTTATATAACTGGAAGAAATCATATTCCTCTGGGTCAATAAGAGACAGTCTTGCTTAAAATATATCTATCTATCTATATATATCTATCTATATCTATAGATAGATAGATAGATATATGTTCTTAGTAAAATAGATATTAACTTTTGCAAACTGTAGTTAAGATGTCTACAATTCTGTTTTGTTTACCTAAAAAATTCTAAAGTTGTTATAGACCTGTAATTATTAGTTTTGATATTAATAAATGCTGCACTTTCTCCTAAATGGTACAATAAAATGGGACTCTAGCTATATGCTCAATAATTTTCTGACAGAACAAAGGCTGTTTCACAAAAATATTGGCTTTATTTAATTAAATTGATCAGTATGTTTCTTAGTTCAAGTCTGCTATACAGACTCAGTTTGCTTTGCTCTTTTAGGCTTGTTTTATGTATATTTGTAAGATGTCTAACTATCTGTCAAAGTTCTAATGTTTTGGGATGCTAACTACTGAATAGATAGGACTAGACTTGGCAATGAACTTGATAAATTTATTCTGAGAGGCACTTTCAGAATCTCTGATATTGCTCATATTTAGTAAGAAGAGTTTATAACATTGACTCCAATTATCTGTCACATCCCCTCCAACATGGGATATGTTCTGCCTAACCATCACTGAAGAAAGCTGTGTCAGCACTGAGGGACACAGCTACACATGGTTAATTGGCCATACCTTTAAAACAGGGAAGGAAGCATTCAGAGACAAAGGAAAAAACTTGTGAGTGTCAGAAAACCACCTGAGTGTCAGCCCTATAAAATAAGCAGAGCTGCAGAGTCTTTATTTTCTGCTCTATGTCAGTCTTATTCTCTGCATAACATTTTGGGCATTCTTTGAAGATCTCCATACACAGTGTATTAATTATTGTTATTTTCTAATTATTTAATCATGAAAATTTGTTTTATTTTTTCCTAGAAGTAAGAGGGATGCTTTTTATATTTTCTTTATTAATATCTACTTGTATTACATTAAAATTAAAATAAAAAAGAATTCTTATACTTGATTGCTGAAAAGTAAATATCCTTTCTAGCAAATGTGAACCATCAAGTATCTTTTGATTTGGGCTTTCTTT